ACATAACATTAGGTCCTAAGTAACATTGACAGATTCTCTTAGTCGACTATCTCTTTGTATCCCAGCGGCAATGTAAGGACATTCCCAGGTATTTTCAGCACACAGATCAATAATAGAAGCTTTTATCTAGCATCTAATACGACAAACACAACAAGAAACGGTTATGTGCTCAAGTTATTAACGAAAGAGAAAGTCGATGAAGAGAATCGATCAATGTTACTTAGAACCTATTGCAATGTTCAGCTTGATTTGTCCATTTCCATTTTTGCGAGGGGCGTCTTTCAATTCAATACAGCTAGCTGACCAATAATTTTAAATCGTACCATTGCTACGTTCTACAATTAATTAAATATTTTGATTACTAGTAGCAGGGATGGAGCACTTTCTAGTGCACCTTCAATGAAAACACACTACGATGCGGAAATAGGGTAAATGTCGGCTTCGGCACCCATTGACTGTTTTTGGCAACCAAAATGTAAACGCTAATCTTACTTTTTTTTCTGTATTCCAACGATTTCGTCATATTCAAACGATAGCGTCAGAGTTAAATTTTAATCTGATCAAAATTGACGGACTGACGCAGCGTCGATGTGAAATCGCCAAGTAGAGATGTCAGTGGAAAAGCAACTTGACATGCGTTACACCTGTTAATTTGACGAACGAACCCATTTGTCAACGCTGACGGTGGGTCCCGCTTTAGTCTTTCAGCTTCAATCCGATTAAAGGTTTGATACTGAGCAATCCTGTTATGCCAGATTTCTATTTAACCTTCCTAATGCATTTATGAAAAAGTTACACACTTAGTATGTTTTACAGAAATCTGTAAAATTTTACCGAAATCTCAACAGCTAAACGTTCGGTAAACAGTTTCGCAGATTTCCTGTAATTTTTCACAAATATCTGTGAATTTTTCACAGATATCTATCTGTGTAATAATAATAATTACAGGGAAACTGTAAAATTGTTTACCAAACGTTCAGTTGTTGAGATTTCGGTAAAATTTTACAGAAATCTGTAAAATAATCTTAGTGTGTACGCATTGTGCATTAGTGAGTCAACAAGGACCGAAACTGCACTTTTCCCAAGATTTATCTGGCCATTTAGGCTACCTGACACCGGTTCCAATAGGCACAAAAGGTCACTTTTTAAACCTCATGTCCTGGTACCGTCCGACGGCTCAAAATTTGTGATTTTTCATCCAGAAATAAATAGACAATATGCCATGGACCAACAGAAGGATCTGGCAACATCCGGCAGAAACCCAGAATCAGTTTCGGGAGGGCCAAAAACGGAAACTTCCTAATTCTCATGTACTCATGTATCCAGAAGTAATTAGACATCTGAACGGTACCAGTACATGAGGTTCAGGAAGTGTCCTTTTTGGGATCCTGCCGGAACCAGTTCCGAGTATCCAGATATGGTTATATCCAAGAAGGTGGCACCCCTATCTTTGCTAAAAACATCCAAAGTAACAATTCAAGCTTAACGGTAAGAACAGATGCTGTTATTGGTTGACCTTAGGTGTACAAAGTTGATTAACAGCAGGCTGAATATAAAGTTGATTAGTTGTGCATGACGCTAATTGTATCCCCATAATTCAACCTCAATACATTATCTGATCTAAAGATTGAACAAGCCTTATTTTAGCTTAACACTACTCCACAAATCAGCAATGGACTACACATATTTTGATAGCCTGGTTTGTTAAATGTAGTTAGCGCACTCGTTGCATTTCCGGTATTTTAGTTCTTCTAAATTCACTGCCTACATTTCTAATCCCAAGTAGCGGCAGCAGTAGAGACAAGGTAGAGGAGTCGTAATGATCCTTCCGTAGAGGTCCCGAAGTTCCGGGGCCACAATCTTCTGCAGAACCTCGGTCTACGTACGCTGCGTTGATTTTCACGTTTTTCTCTATAAACACCAGTGGGAGCTTCCCACGCACTGATAGGCCCCCCAAACGATCACCGACGTGGGGCTCTGGAATCGGGGGATATTTATTTGCGACGGGGGGATGCTGGCCAACGTCAACGCCCACAGGCGATCATTTTGGACATTGTGCGGCTGTTGCAAGACACAGAGTTTCTCATCAGAAAACACGAACTCCTGACAGTGGTAGTCATTCATCGTGCGCGATATCAAATAACAAATGACAGCAAGTCGACGACGTGCACGTCGGTTAGCATATATATGAGGCACAACGATGAAAAGTTGTATTCGAGCTTATTGAACACCCTGTAGCTGAATTTTACTTTCACTGGAACATCCTCAATCTTCAGGATCGAAAGTGAACAGCTTCTCATCAGAGAACACGACGATCGGATGCTTCTTTTTTCATTACGGACAATAATCGCTTTGAGCGTTCCAGCCGTAGTGCTTAGATTCGTTCCGTTATCAAATGACGCTTCACTCTAGCCCTTGATGATGCATCCAAGTCATCTTTGACCAAATCGTTGCATGGAGGAATTCGATATCTTCGCTTCTTTAGCCAGCTTCCGAATTGACCTAACTGGATTTCGCTTCACTTTCTATTTAACCGATTTAACCACCTTCTCAGTGCGAGTGGACCGTGGACGTCCACTCCCGTCAACAGTATGCTGTTGTTTTTTGTATGCGCGCTACTGTTTTGTTTACATCACTTGACAGTACAAAGTTTAAAGATTACACACACATAAAAAACTAGCCAAAATTATTTTTAAACCTAACCAAAAATTAGTTAAAAGCTAATTATACAGTCAGATACAGATTTAAGATTTTTTACCGTGAACATACAGATTGAAAACAGAAAATTGTGGCAACACTCGGCAATTAACCATTTAATTCCAAACAGTTGAAAATTATGTTTCCTACCACTCGAACTTCGAAATAACACAATATTTTGAGGGTTTTAATTCTAGAACCACGACAAATGTAGCCGAAAGTAGTGCGTTTCATAGTAAAATAGTCATTTGTTGGTCAAATTTTGTGAAATCGCTGGTAGAAATTCACGATAAAACTGCTTGACAAAGTGGTTCATTATGTGCTTGGCATTTTTTATTTGTTTTTTTTTTCTACACCGTGACATTCAACTGGGTATCTGTAAACAAACACCAGATCAGTGACTCTAATTTCAGTGAAGCACGCTCGTTGGGCAAAACTAGAGTCGGTGTATAATGAGTCACGCCAAGAGAAAAACAGTTGAACTCGCATCACGGTTTTCGGAAGATTCCCATTCTTTTCACTTGGCAACAGAGGACTTCTACAACAACTTCAAATGACTTCTAGCGAGAGAAAAAATATTGCGGCTGTAGTAAATCATTATATCAGTGATTTTGTCAAATTATCTTAACAAAAAATAGTAGAAATTACTAATCATTACCGAGCGTATCCCATGACAATTTAACGCTCACTGCGTGTTTATGCTCATTTCTTCGATTATATTTTATATTTTATTGCAATACCTTTCGTGGACCTTTCATAGCATCGTAATGTTTATTTATTTTGCACGATAGGTAGCCGGTTTGACAGTTCAATAGGTAGACTTGGCTTCACTCTTGGCGTGACTCATTATACACCGACTCTAGGCTAAACCTGTAGCCCACTTAGTGAAAGGCTTTCGTTAGTTGGGCTGAGCGTCAAGCTGAAAATTCCGGAGTGATTTGAGATTTGGGCGTAATTGCTTTTGTAAACTAACACGTCAATCACTGATTTCTCTTGAAAAAAAAAGCTCAATCTCACAAACAAACTATACCAAATGATAGAGGAATCATTCCTCTACCTCATAGTGTTATTACTTTTCGAGATTGAGCTTTTATTCGCGAGAAATCGGTGATTGACGTGTTTGTTTACAAATGCCAATACGCCCAAATCTCAAATCACTTCCTAATTGGTTTAGGGATACACCGATTGTATATTATCATCACAATCCTTTAGCAACTATCCAAATTGTTTATACATGAGCCCCTCGAAAAAGAAATAGCACTGTCAAAAATGACGTTTGAATTCGATTTAGGTGAGCTACAGCCCAACTGACGGGAGCCCAACTAAAACGTAGCCCACCTAAACATAGCCCAACGAGCGAAATTTGACTGTAATATGAATTGCTGCAGTCTTAACAATTGTTTACAAGTAGGTGAATTTGTTATACTGTTGAAAATCTTTTAGGTAAATTCGAAATTTAAGAAGCAAAAGACGCATTTTTGGTTTGACAAACTAATAAACACTGAAGTTGTCAATGCGGGTGTCTAGGGAGGAGGGGGCTCAGCCAGAAAGTTTTCAGGATTTATATAATTTGAATTGCCGGTTTTAAATCAACAACAAAAAATCTGGTGGGGAGCTGAATCATTCTGGTGGGGGCAGGCATTCTAGGCACCCCCATTAGCAACGCCAATGCTAATGCAGACAATCAATAAACACCTCTTGTCAAACTTTCGCTGATTTGGCTTTATTACGTCCCTACTGGGACTGTACGTCGGCCCTCAACTTAGTGTTCATTGCTTTCAGCTTTTTACGCTTCTGTAGCGAGCGTTTTGCCGGCTCTCTACTTAGTGTTCTAGATGCACTTCCATAGATATTAATTGAGAGCTTTCTATGCCAACCAATGCATGAATTTGTACATTAAGCACATAGATACTCTATGCCCAGGAAAGTCGAGAAAATTTCCAACCCGAAAGATTTCATCGACCAGACTAGGAATTGAACCCGCCGCCTCCGGCTTGGTAACGTCTTGCCTTTACTAACAACACTATCTGAGGCCCCTACCGCTTCCGCGAAATTGCAAACTTGCGAATTGCGAATAATTTTGCTCATCCGGACGAGAATAACATCGCCGAATGCAAATAAAATCCCAGCAAATCGCGCATCTTCAATCAACATACAGCAGAACCATCGTTACATTCTTTATCTCCACCTCTCGCTCGGAGTAGAATCGGACGACGCGATCTCTTTTATTCTTGAATCCATGCAGAAATCCTCCTCAGTCTGCCAGCACTAACGGACGGCATCGCAAGTACCTTGCCTATCTACTAACCCGACACGAAGGGGAACGACGACAATCGCGCGCAATGAAGGAACCACTCCTGCTCTTAACGGTCGCTTCGCAGATACTGCACGTGGTGAAAGAGTTTCCCCAGCTGCTCACGGTAGTGCTTTGCCTGGTTGGGCTTGTGTACGTGATCAACAGTGATCGTAAGGCATGGAATAACAGTACGAAGAAAAGTGTCAAATATTATCTGAACAAACTGCCGGGACCGCAATGTTTGCCGCTGCTGGGAAACTCGCTGATGATGGCAACCGATCGGGAAGGTTAGTTAGCGAGAATCGTGTGCGTGTGTAGTAGCGATCTACGTGATCGAAATAGTCGTTTTTTTTTTTGATCGTTTGTTCGGTACTAATTGGTACATGTTTTGAATTTAGATATTAGCATATGGGTGATGATATGATGATGCAAAATCGAACAATTCAAACAAGTTTTGAATCAAATCAAGCATTATGAGTTTCATTGTTGTATTTATTAGTATTCGATTTTGGTGGTACCGTAAAGGATTGAAATCGAGACACTTGGTCCACAAATCCAGACACTTTTGAAAATGCAATCATGGACTTATAGTATCAATCAGAAGCATCATTACGGTTCATTACGGTATCAAGCAAAATTTCGTTCAATCGAAAAGTGGAATTTGCAGAATAGACTTTGATGACGAAGTGACAAATCATGAAAAATGTGTTAAACAGTATGTCATAGTTTGTGAAAAGTGCATACATTTGCACTAAAAACCGACGGGCGGCTCTATCTAAGATGCAGGAAAGAAATTGCTTTGCTGTTGTGAGATGCGCGCACGCTTAGTAGGTAGAAAGAAGATTGATGAAGATTTTGAAGATTTCCTGCAAAAAGGTGGCGCGCAATGCGAGAAGATGCAAGAGATGAAAATAGCTATTTATGCAACAAGTTGAAAAAAGAAGATTTTTTAAGGCACGAGTCGTTGTTTATCCAACGAGGCTTGCCACCCTATAGCTTCGTTCAATTGAGCAATAGATATTTTTCCACCATTGACAAAGTTTCTTAAAATGATTTAATCTACAATGTTTCCTTAGATGTTCAACAATTTTATCAATACATAAAAAAGTTTTTTTTTTTCTGAGTGTGTACCCCTTTAATCAAAATTGTTCACTACTCAAATAAAGTACCGTAAACGGAGTAGCATTGATAGTAGTATATTCTAAATATTTTTTACAACAATGAATGTTTTTTTTTTAATTTTATACTTTTAAAACAAGTACTGAGGATCCAAGAGCTACTTCGTTAGCAATATGTGGTACGAAAACTAAAGCATTTGCACTATTTTTTTTAGTTTTGTGACCAAACTTCAGTATTTTGATTTGGGGTTACTTTGATAATGCTGGATGAATGTAGAAAAAATGAGTGAAACTCAACTTTGAAACTTTGAATGAGTGTATAATCAGAAAACTTCATAAGCAATAAGAATACAACATTGAATTTGTGATGGCTGTATCGGAAATATATTTCATAAGTGATGGTATGAGTCGAGGGGGGCGGCTCTATCTACGATGCAGGAAAAATTGTGTTTTGCTGTGGTTAGCTGCACGCACACTGAGTAGATAGAAAGGAGATTGATGACGATTCTGAAGATTTCCTGCAAAAAGATGATGTGCAATGCAAGTAGATGCGAGAAATGATTGACGATTTTTCGAAGATTGATTCGCTGGTGTGAGATTTGTTGAGCATCTAGAATTGAGATTTAGATGTGTCGCCCCCCTCGGTATGAGTGCTTTTTCAAAAAGGCGAAAAACACGAAAATTGTGTTTTAATATGTTTGTAAAATATGTAACACATACTATATAAAAACTATATACGAAATCAACGGAAACACCCTAAGCTACAATATGGAACCAATGTTTCTTATTTGGAAAAAGCACAGCGAGCAATTTTATTCTTTATATTATACTATCAAAGTAACCCGCATTATCAAAGACACCCTGTTTTACGGTATTCAAAAAATTAAGAAACATCCTAGAAGACATCAAAATTCTACACACAATAGTTTCGTCGCAAATAGCCATGTCCCACTATCTTTGATTTCATCCCACTGTGTGACGTCTAGAGGCTAGAAGTCGATGTCCGACGCCGTTTTGAAATCCAAGATGTCGGCTTCCGATTTCAGTAATTACTGTCAAATACCCATCAATATGGTTGCATTACAGTACTTTTATTAAAACTTCAAAGTTACAGCATTAGATGGTCACAGTTCTCCAGTTCGAACGAAATCTCGAACCTTCCTCTTGATGGAGCCTATCAGCGCCCGCACAGTGGAAACGAACACGCAATCAGCGCATTTCTTCCATTTTGCCCGCATTTGCTGGATTGTCTTCGTCGAAGTCGCTGCTTTGAAATTGCCCAGTATTTTTCGATTGGTCGAAATTCCGGGCAATGGATCAATGAAAAAGCAGTGGTTTTGACAGAACTGTGCTGTGGCTACCACAGTATTTAACATTTGATCGTCCATATACAGTAGCGCCAAAAGCATGCTGTGGTGGGTTCAAAACTTGACCATCTAAAATGATCAATTCGGAGGATTCATTAGCTTGGGGACAAAATCGATCTTGTTGGCAGCATACCACTCCAGAACCACCTTGGAGTAGTGGCAGCTGGCCAAATCGGGCCAAAAGATGACTTTACCCCTATGCTTGCGGATGAACGGCAATACACGCTTTTTCAGGCATTCTTCGATGTAAACTTGGGATGTCATCGTCATGAATGTGACGAATGGTTCCGTTTTCAGGCCACAACTGTAAATCGCTTGCCAAATCATGACCTTCTTCGCAAACTTGCTGCTTAAAATCGAGTTTGACGTATGTTTCGTCATCGATCAAAGTGCAGCCCTTGTGTACGTTCGTACAAGAGCCTTGCACGCTTTTTGGCCACGGAATTCTGCTTCATGTGCCGATTCGGATGTTTACTGGCTTTGTACAACTTGTATCCTTTCCTGGCAAGGATGTCCGCACCGTTTGAAAGTTAGCCACATCTCGGATCGAAAGACCGGGGTTGGCTTTAACGCACCTCAACACCTTGCTGCGCAGCTGACAATCCCTGGTTCCAATTTTTTCGCAGATCCGCTGATTCTTTTTCACACATAGGGTTTCCTTGTAGGTTTTGAGCACTCGACAAACTGTTATTTTCGGCATCTTCAGCACTTTAGCCAGCTTGCAACCGGACCACAGCGGATTTTCCAGGTGTTTGTGCACAATGTTTTTTCTCCTTTCGAGTTCCATTTGACGTTATTTCTGGACGCGATCGACTACTTTGATCAAACTAGAGTCGGTGTATAATGAGTCACGCCAAGAGAAAAACAGTTGAACTCGCATCACGGTTTCCGAAAGATTCCCTTTCTTTTCACTTGGCAACAGAGGACTTCTACATCAACTTTAAATGACTTCTAGCGAGAACCAAAAATAACGGCTGTAGTGAATCATAATATCAGTGATTTTGTCAAATTATCTTATCAAAAAATAGTAGAAATTCTCAGTACTGATCAAAACCAAACGTATCCCATGACCATTTAATGCTCGCTGCGTGTTTATGATGATTTCTTCAATTTTATTTTATATTTCATTGCAATACCTTTCGTAGACCTTTCATAGCATCGTAATGTTTATTTATTTTGCACGATAGGTAGCCGATTTGACAGTTCACTCTTGGCGTGACTCATTATACACCGACTCTAGATCAAACTTGCACCAGTAGTTCTCTATAGAAGTGTAAACAAACTACTGTCAAAGATTTTCGATTCCCAGCACCCCAGCACTAGAGGCGTGCTAGCGGCGCGCGAGGGGCATACCAATTTATTTCTTGTCAGCCATTAGTAATTAAGCCTAGAATTAAGCTCATGTTGTTGATGATGTCATGTTGGCCAATCCGATCGCCATTGATCAGACTGATGCACGTTCCGTCCGGTTCCTTCAGATACACACTGGTGAGACCCGTGGAAATAATATTCATCTCTCTGCCGAAGATACCGTCAGACCAATCTCATCATCGTGCGACAGAGGACAAATTCCATCGTCCAACATCTCCTCGAGATCCATGAACGAATCATCCATGTCAACACGCTCATCGTCATCTTCACTATCGAAAGGCTGTGCGGCGACGTGAACAGTGCTGTCTGGCTGGAGCAGAAATTCGCATCTACGTAGCACTTCTACGGATTGGTTTCGTACGGTTAGCGTCATCCATTCCGTCTCCAGTCGCTCCTGGATGGTGATCCGAGTTTCAGAATTCTTGTCCAACAGCGAAAGCAACACGTTCTCCAATTCTTAGCAGGATTTCTTCAACGTTCACGATTGGGTTCTCGAATAACATCAACACGTACAGATCCATCCCGGAGCCTTGGATTTCAATCACCACCTGAAAGAACTTGTCGTTCTCGAACCAATCGAACATGTTGACAATGTTCGGATGCTTCACGTTTGTCAACAGCTATGCATCCATCAGGTCCTAATCATAAACTGCGGCACGATCTTCTCCTTCAGTATGAACTTCGATATCACCAGCAACCTATCCGAGTAACTCAGCTTCACATACCCGTACGCGCCCTTCCCGATGTTCCTAACCAGTGAGTAATATTTGCTGTACTCTCCATGGGTCAAATCTTCATCGTACTGCGACATAAGGGAGACGAAACTGGGACGATCCGAGTGGATGGCCTACCCAAGCGAATTGTCCACCGAACTGGTCACACTGTTGAACGTCAACGTTAGATTCAGATGCATATCCTCATCCTCCAGGTTGTTGTACGATGTATCCGGATCCCGGCTTACCCAGATGCAGCAGACCTTCCTCCAGCAGGGAAGCGTCTGATTCAAAATGGAGTATAGTATGTCGATCACGTTGCCATCGTAGTGAATCACTTCCCCGAGGTACTTCCTATCCAAATAGATCGACCTGCATAGTTCACACGGAATCGGAATCGGCCAAATGTCGTTTCTGTTGATGTGGCGTTTACGTGACCATTGTCTTCGACATCTCACAGTTTGACATACCAAAACAAACTCTCAAAATACCGGGTTGCCAAACATCCAATTAAAATATTCACAAAGAAAGGCAGTCCGATGACTGGCACTGCCAGCACACTTGAGGCACACTGTTGCTCTGAACCATTTGGTGGATTATTTTAACTTTTGGTTAAAATTTGACAGATGGAAAGTTATCGATTAACCCTGCTATCCGAGCGTGGTTACTTCTGACAGACAAGAAGTTAAATTTGGCAACCTTGACTAAGTTCTTCTCG